TGAGTACTCAAAAGAAAGGTTTTGATGAGTGTAACATCGGAATGAGCTTATATCTTTAAAAATGTCAATAGTTCATGAGATACAGAGTCATTTTCAAATGCAGCCTAAATACTTATCATCATAAATTGACTATTGGTAATAATGATATGAAACCATGAAAAGGCACAACTCCAGGTCAAGACTTTTTAACAATACCAAATTTAACCAGAAAAACCCATTTTATCATATAAATACACTGGCCGCAAAATTTTACTTATTCTCTTAATATAGTTACTGTAAGTATTATTTTTCTAAATATATTTTTCTATAAAAAAAAAAAAAAAATAATTGAATTGGGCACGATTCTCCCGCTGGTGATACTCCCGGTGGTATTTATTGTCCCCGCTCTTTGGTGTGGGGTTCTCCAGAGTTTAACCGGCGATAAACACCCATGAAAGTAACAGTGCTGTTCCACCTTGGAGTGGCAAACGCGAAAGGGATTTACCTCCGTTCGTTCAGTCTGACATTCTACATCGACGTGAACGCACTTACTTGCGCCAGTGATCATCCAAAGTATTTTTAATAGCAGTAAGACTCCCTGTAGAAATTAATTATATTTCAATATAATAATTGTAATTTGACAGTCTAAAGACAGTAAAAAAAAAAAAAAAGAAGAAAAATTAATACGTACCAGTGCCGTGCGGGAAGAAAAGTGTCTTTTGCAACAGGATGCGAACTTCCTGAAATTTTCTGAAATTTAAGAAGAAGATTAACTGTGGATCATAACGATGGATTGGGTGAGAATTAAGATTTATATTTTTACCTTTAATTGATTAATTTATTGACTTGGTAAAGCCTTGAATTTTAAATTGTGCGTATAAAATGAAGTAGAGCTGATGATTGAAGCGTTATGAGGTCGAAGAGAGCGAGTTGAGTCTGCATACTTACAAGTTTTTGGCGAGCACGCAATCTTGAGGATAGCCAGTACATTACTTTCTGCAGCCAAGGGGCCTTGAGAGTACTTGAGAGTACCGGTATACAGTATAGTAATTATAATTATGTACTGACCGGAGCCATTTATATTAAAGCCGCTTGTAAGTCGGATAAAATTCTAATAAGAATGAGAATAGAAATAATAGATAGAAATAAGGGATAAGTATTATATCCAGCTATTGTATTAATGTACGGTGAATTACGTGATGGTTTCGCAACAGAGGAATCGCGGATGGTATCTCCTATCTCTGAATTCATAATTCACACCGTTGTTACCGAATAAAACGCTAATAAAAAGTTATGGAATATGGTAAAAACATAACAGGCGTATTATGGGAGCCATCTATGATAGTCATATCTGTTATTATGTGGGAGAATCTCCGACAAGTATCGGTTTGTGGGAATAATTAGCTTATTTCTGCCCACTTTTAAAATGCTCTTGTGGCAATTAGTTTTGCTTATTGCGAAAACTGAAATTATTAATTATCTGTCAATGGTTTAATGTTTATTAATTTTTTTAAATTGAGACTACCGTGATAAAAAATAAATTTTTAATTAATTATTTATTTGTAATTCATGTAATTTATATAAACCTATCTGAAAGTTAATAATTACGATAATAAATGATAATTATAAAAGTAAAAGAAATTTAAATTACAAATTACAAAGTCTTTCTCGCTTTTTATTTCCGAGGGTAGGAATAAAATAGTAATATTTATAATAATAATAATAATAATAATAATAATAATAATAAACATCGCGTTATAATTTGTAACATTTGATAATTTATTTAAATCTTATACTTGACACCCGTTTCAGTAATGTAGGAAGTTATTTAATAAAGCACGAAGAAATATAAATAATAATACAATTTAGTGTGTCATAATAATTGTCAATGATTTAAGAATTTAATTAAATATTTTCGCAATACTTTCAAAAGAAGAAATTTATATTTTCTATGAGTTTTATTTATTAACACGCCAACACGTGCGTAGATGAATATTAAACGATAATAATAATAATGTAAATATAAATTATTATGATGATGATGATTATATTAATGTATGTGAATAGTGAAAGCGATACGTTAATTTATACGATGAAAACAGAAGGAAGAGCTTGTCAATCGCTTATATTACATACGACCATGATTGCGACCTTCATGTCTTCTCAGCTTATTGCTGGTCAATCTATCGATCAGGTGATCGGGTAAATAACTTTTCCCTGAGATCTATAAATAAATGACCTTCTAGGAGAGATCGGTAAATAATATTACTCAAAACATAAATCTCACGCTAACGAGGCTCATTAACCGGTATCAGGCGTTTTGATCCCCCGACAAAATATCCCCGGACAAATATGGTTTTCTGAATAATAATAATTATAAATTATTATAAATTTATAATTTAATAATTATAATAAATTTATAATAATAATTTATAATTATTATTTCAGAAAAACCATATTTTGTCCGGGGATATTTTGTCGGGGGATCAAAACGCCTGATACCGGTTAATGAGCCTCGTTAGCGTGAGATTTATGTTTTGAGTAATATTATTTACCGATCTCTCCTAGAAGGTCATTTATTTATAGATCTCAGGGAAAAGTTATTTACCCGATCACCTGATCGATAGATTGACCAGCAATAAGCTGAGAAGACATGAAGGTCGCAATCATGGTCGTATGTAATATAAGCGATTGACAAGCTCTTCCTTCTGTTTTCATCGTATAAATTAACGTATCGCTTTCACTATTCACATACATTAATATAATCATCATCATCATAATAATTTATATTTACATTATTATTATTATCGTTTAATATTCATCTACGCACGTGTTGGCGTGTTAATAAATAAAACTCATAGAAAATATAAATTTCTTCTTTTGAAAGTATTGCGAAAATATTTAATTAAATTCTTAAATCATTGACAATTATTATGACACACTAAATTGTATTATTATTTATATTTCTTCGTGCTTTATTAAATAACTTCCTACATTACTGAAACGGGTGTCAAGTATAAGATTTAAATAAATTATCAAATGTTACAAATTATAACGCGATGTTTATTATTATTATTATTATTATTATTATTATTATTATAAATATTACTATTTTATTCCTACCCTCGGAAATAAAAAGCGAGAAAGACTTTGTAATTTGTAATTTAAATTTCTTTTACTTTTATAATTATCATTTATTATCGTAATTATTAACTTTCAGATAGGTTTATATAAATTACATGAATTACAAATAAATAATTAATTAAAAATTTATTTTTTATCACGGTAGTCTCAATTTAAAAAAATTAATAAACATTAAACCATTGACAGATAATTAATAATTTCAGTTTTCGCAATAAGCAAAACTAATTGCCACAAGAGCATTTTAAAAGTGGGCAGAAATAAGCTAATTATTCCCACAAACCGATACTTGTCGGAGATTCTCCCACATAATAACAGATATGACTATCATAGATGGCTCCCATAATACGCCTGTTATGTTTTTACCATATTCCATAACTTTTTATTAGCGTTTTATTCGGTAACAACGGTGTGAATTATGAATTCAGAGATAGGAGATACCATCCGCGATTCCTCTGTTGCGAAACCATCACGTAATTCACCGTACATTAATACAATAGCTGGATATAATACTTATCCCTTATTTCTATCTATTATTTCTATTCTCATTCTTATTAGAATTTTATCCGACTTACAAGCGGCTTTAATATAAATGGCTCCGGTCAGTACATAATTATAATTACTATACTGTATACCGGTACTCTCAAGTACTCTCAAGGCCCCTTGGCTGCAGAAAGTAATGTACTGGCTATCCTCAAGATTGCGTGCTCGCCAAAAACTTGTAAGTATGCAGACTCAACTCGCTCTCTTCGACCTCATAACGCTTCAATCATCAGCTCTACTTCATTTTATACGCACAATTTAAAATTCAAGGCTTTACCAAGTCAATAAATTAATCAATTAAAGGTAAAAATATAAATCTTAATTCTCACCCAATCCATCGTTATGATCCACAGTTAATCTTCTTCTTAAATTTCAGAAAATTTCAGGAAGTTCGCATCCTGTTGCAAAAGACACTTTTCTTCCCGCACGGCATTATAAATTATTATTATAAATTTATTATAATTATTAAATTATAAATTTATAATAATTTATAATTATTATTTCAGAAAAACCATATTTTGTCCGGGGATATTTTGTCGGGGGATCAAAAATCGTGGAACCCATTAACCTGTCTGTTTTGTTTTCGGAAGAAATTCTGCACTCAGAATTACTATAAATTTATTGCACATGCGTCGTTAGACGTTATGTACTGCTATCTTTAAGTTGCTGCTTATATTAACCAATCCGAAATTTTCTGATTTTTAAAATAACCAATGATAATCCTTGATTAACTACTTCTTTTTTTTTGTCATGAAGTAAACTAAAGAAAAAAGTGAAATTACTTTATAGGGTAGCGATCTGCGATCGACCTGAATAACTTGGAAAAATGATAAAATTTCATGACACTGAAGTTAGAAGACGTGTAAAAAATTTTGATTTTTTTTATTAATTAAATTACAACTAAAAAAACCCCGTGTAAAAATGATATGATATCATTATGAGGCTCATAATGAATCTCATATTTCGGCACTAATATGAGATTCATATAAAAGCCATATTAATATATTTGAAACCTGTATTAAGTAAAATACTTATGGAAACGAATTTTTTTAACTAGATTATAAAATTTTTATTTTTCTTGTTGGAGAAAGCAAATTTCCAGTAATTTAAAATTATTATTAAATATAAAATTTGATCCACACGGATCGGTCTTATGGAGATTCGTGACAAACGCATAATTTCATACTGAAATCATAATAGTAACTGCGTAAACTTATGATGGAATCAGGCTGATATTTTTTTAAATTCATCATAATATTGTAATGATATTGTTGCCTTCTATTCATAATTCAAGAAAAAAACTTTTTTGTAACTGTTGGAAATTCCTTAGGACAGTATCTCCATGATGATATTGACATAATTTCATTATGAAATCATAATGATATTAAAATGAATTAATAATTAAATGATGGTCATATTTTTATAAGATCATAATGATATTGTTAGTCTTTTTAAATAGTGATATAAAATTATTGAGTCATAACTGTATACAGGAAATATTGCAAAATAATTAAATTAAAGAAATTTTTAGGAGGATTTAAATTGTTTTCAAAATAAGAAAATAATTATCTTGAGACGAAAAAATCTTTTCAGTCAAAAATTTTTTTTAAACCAAGATAGTGTTTTTCTAAATATTCTTCTAAGTTAAGAAAGACAAGGAAAAAATTTAAGTAGTTCAACAATATAGTGCATGATAAAAATACTGTTTTTCTCAATTATTATACATTTCCTCTGATTAACAGAAAAAATGAAATTTTTACTGATCTACTGAAAAAAAAATTCGTTCCCACAGGTATATTTACGTACATTTCTAAGTAAAGTTTTTACATGTGACAATTTTTTTTTTAACTGCTTAATTCAAATTTTTTCATTAAAAAATTTCTAAAAATTTTTTAGATATCGGCTAACTTCATTTTCATAAAATTTCAACAATCATGAAATTTTATAGTAAATTTTTCATTATTTTTGAATAAACAAAGAAAATTAACTTAACAATATTCACATTGAAGACATGCGTAAGCAATTGAACTAACTTATGAGTTATGAGGAAATGAAAGTTACTAAAAATCAATAATTTTTTTTTTATTTATTATCCTTTCAATGCTAGTCAACTGTGCTGTAATGACAGTTGATATTATTTTTTATTACTTAACGTCTGCAATTTCCATTTTTTCAAACTAATGATATATAATAATTAATAAACAAGGTTAATATTGACTCTGTAATTATTTGTTGTATTTTTAAGAGTTATAGATACTTTATTCAACTAAATTTAATTTTTCAATCAAATAAAAATTTGTAAAAGATTGACAAAAAGTTCATGCAGTTTTTTTATAGTAATTTTTTTTTTTATTTTATTTATTCGATTTAAATGCCAAAGCATCAGCCAAATGGCAAAAATACAAAAATAAGTAATATAAAGTACATGTAAGAGTATATACAGGTCTATATAAACATATTGAGAGTATTTAAAATTATTATAAAAGTTTTTTTTTAAGGGATAATTTAAAAATTTAATATTGATTTTTTTAGTAGGTCTTTGAATTTTATCTAAAGTCAAGAAATTTTAAAGTAAACTTTTAATAGCTGAAAAATTTTTTTTAAGTGTTTTTCAATGACCTATAAATTTTTTAGATCCATAAGAAATTTGGATTTTTGGCCTATTTATCCGCTATATTTTTTTCACGTATTTTTTTAAACTAAAAAGTTTAATTTAAATTTCTAAATGACAAAAAAATCATTTATAGTTTTTCAAATGCTATTAGTAAATTCTTCTCGGCAAATTTTGTAGATATAGCTTGTAAGAAAATAATTTTCGCGTAAAAATAACTCTTGAGAGATTACCTAAGAATCCAAGTTAAGCTTAATGATCACTTCTGTAAAAAGCACAATTATAGTTCTTCATTTCACGCGTTTTATCACTTTGATGACAAGTAACTTTCTTGCCTGGTAATTTTTATTTTATCAGTAGCTCCAGAAATTTATTTCGAGTCAGGGATTTCTAAAATAGTCTTCCAATCTTCACCCTGTTTTATTATTTTTTCATTACGTAGATTAAAAAAAATAAATAACGTTGTTTTCAATGACAATTGAGTAATAGTAGATGAACAAATTAAAAGTTTCCGATTGAAAATGGCAGATTTAAAGTTGCCGTCAATGGCATCGAAAGTTCTTGTTAAATTATTCCACGTCGATGGATTGAATGTGAGATTTAGACACAGGGACAGTCAGCTGGTTGACCTTTTGCGGTTAATGCCGGCGGGTCTTGAACGACGTTTAATTATTTTTACCTCCTCTTAAGTTTATCTCCGTCCAGTCTTGTACGAGAAAGGGGCTCGTGTCATCCGGTTCAATTATTAAAAAAATACATTTAAAAAAGCATTCAATCGTGTGAATGAATAATTATTTGAGAAAATTAAACTACAAAATTTCACTTTGTAATTTCACGTTCCCCATATAATATGTGTGTCAATGATCACACGAGAAACTATTAAATACATGATACAGTAATTTTTAATTAAACGGTTTATCCTGAGGCTGGATGGTGATTAGCGAAGAAATGATAATTGATATTTATTTATTTCCTGTTAAAAATATATATGTCCGATAAGACTTGCCGCAATTCCTGGAGCTAATCCTGATGAAAGTAAAAGTTTGTTTAATTCTGTGGAGCTCTAAACAACTCTGACACTAATGGCTACCAGAATCTTTGATGTTAAATGCTTTTAGGAATGTAAATTCAAATGAAAAACCATCGCAATATTTCTCAACTTATCCTGGAGAATTTTTTTAAAAGAAAATCTCCGAGTTTATCAACGAAGAAAACAAACAATACTTGACGTTTAATTTCTCCGGCATTGTCCCGATATTTCTCGAGCGACCTTGGGAAAATATTTTTATTTTCATTATAAACCTGTTTAGTTTCTTAACTTTTCATTTTTATTGACAATTATTGAGCATTAAGAGTCGCTCATGGTCTTTCAGTGAAAAATAACAGAATAAATTAATAAAATATTGAAAATTTGAATTATAAAAAATTTTAATCAGCAGTCATAAGAGTAATAAATGAATGGTTAATGTACCAGCGATGTAACAGCGTAATAAGAGATTATTACGTTTGACGTCGCGCCGAAACGCCCGAGAAAGTCGATTCAAACGGGCCCCATATTATATCTTTCTGCTACAACTTCTTTATATATATGTATATGTATTTCTATACATTTATATATTTATATATCGTGCGTTCCTTATTTATTTCTTTCTTTCTTGCTTTCTCTTTACACACGTTGCATAACAAGGAGTGGAGTGTCGAGAATACGCATAGTTCTCTGCCACAAAATAATAAAAAATTTGTCTCTTTTTATTTACCCGGTCAAATACCTTGAAATTTTTTGTCTGTAAAAGGTCATTTGTTAAAATCTTAAGAGATATTGAAGATTAAATAATTTTAAATCTTCATTCTTTATTTAGAAAATTTTAATTCATAGAAGAAAAATTTGAATAAATTTTATTGAAGTTTAACCTTTAGTCGAAAGTTACAAGAAAATTTTTTGGAGGATTTAATTTTAAAAATTGAGTAAAAGTTTAAATTCTGGGTCAAATATTAAAAATATAATAAATTTAAGTTCAAGAAAAACACTTTTACATTGAGAGAAAAAATTTCTTTTCAAAAAAATGAGTAATGTTATAACAAGATTAATTTGTTAAAATTTTTTAACTGGTTAAATCAAAATTTTACTTTCAGTTACTTTCTTGTTGAAAAAAAATTTTTTAGATTTGGGAAAAAACAATTTTGGGTGAAAATTTGTAAGTTGTTTATCTGAAATTAATTAAGAAAGTTACTGTGAGAAAAATTTTAATTTCTTCAGCTGAAAAATAAAATTATTAAAAATTTTTGAAAAATTAATTTCTTGTCATAACAATGCCCATTTTTTTCAAAAAAAATTTTTTCTCTCAGTTTATAGCAAAATATACAAAAAAAAAAAAATAGTTTTGAATGATTTTTAAGCAGCTTAAAATAAAAATAAAGTGATTAAGAAAAAAATTATTTGATTGTAAAAAGAAGCGTTAGGTTTTTAATAGAATTAATTAAAATATTTTTAAAAGCATTTTAAACTTTTTTTCAATAAAATAAACGTTTTGTTCAAATTTTCAACTAATTGAAAGTAATTTTCTACTTTTTCTTTTAGTTTGTTATTGAAGTTTTTTTTTTTTTAATTATTTTCAAATTCTTTAGTTTAATGAAGAACGAAAAGCATAAGATTGAAATTTTTTATTGAATTATAAAAAACGATCAATATTTAATATAATTAAAAGAATAATGTATATTCCACCTGTAAAATTAATCATTTTTTTTATTCTAAAAACATTTATCCTGTACAAGACATCAGAATAAAGTTATAAAATAATTGTAGTGTCATAAATCCTTGATACGTGTGCAAATTTTCAAATTAATTAGATGATTTAAAGTCGATAAAAATAACGTTGAAAGATTCCGTTACTTACTTACAAGTCAAGCTAATAAAAACGTATTGAAAAAATGATAAGAGATTATTAAACAAAGTTAGTAAAACGATAAAATTAATAAAAAAAAAAACAACAATTAGTTTCAGTCATTTTAACTCTTCTCCGCTAACAATTCATAATGTTCCAAAGTAAAAAAAAACTTTCTCAAGTTTATAAAAATGGAAATAGAAAATTGTGAAGCTCAAAGATATTAATGACCTAAAATTTAATACTTCAATTCTGCAGTTAAATATAAAAACTTTAAAGAAAAAAAAATTTGATTCAACAATTCAAATGAAATAAATGAGTTGACCTAGAGATCAAAATTCAGCAGCCCATTTCTTTCACCAGCAATTACCGCTAACAAAACATAAAACATTCTCGAGTACAATATAGTGAGTCAATTAAAACTTGTATAATAGACGATTCTTTTACAATAGACTTGTAAATCTCCAATTATCATAATTCCTATTGAAATTATAAATACTTTTCTACTTTGTAACATATTTTTCTAGCGCAAAGTTAGGCGATATGAATCGGCAAATTTAATTCATTATTATAAATATTTTATTTCAATAGAAAAATTAGGTTTCGAGAAAGCAGCACGGAGAACAATTAAATAATTAGATAACAGATTGAGTATAAAAAAAAGAGATTTATCAGACTAGTCAAGTGGAACAAAAATTTAAATAAATATTTTTCTTGGAATTAATAATTTATTTTTTGACTTAAAGACCGGCTTGGTCCCGGAAGAAAATATTTCGTAGCCTTTTGGGCACGTTTCTTCGATGCGTGACGACTACTAACATATATATGTCTTTAGGTACATCCGCGTTTGGAAGGGCCATTGTTCTCGATAAATATAAATGTCTACAAGATTTGATTATTAATTGATTAATAAAATAAAATATGTATGATATAATAATTGTGACGTTGCAGAGAAACGGGAGCCTGTACTTCCTGTGGCTGGTGCTGGGACTGGCGTCGATTAACGGTAAGTAATCGATAAATTTTGTACAAAGCAATTGTAATTTTTTGTTAAGACAGTTACAGTGTTACTGTTGTTGTTTCTCTATTAATTCTTCCGACAAACGAAAGTCTAAGGCGAGACTGAAAATTTCTCTACGTGTAAGTCGCGGTTTCACTCCCGACCATTTACGTACGTTTTATTCCTATAAAGCGCAGCATGCGTGATGTCCATGTCTCAATAGCTTTTCTTTATACTATGCTACATAATAAAATACCAATACCAATTTTAATTTTAAATCTAAATCTAAATCCACAGGTTGTTTGAATTTAATCGACGCTGACAATCGATTTTTAAATATATATCATAACCCATTTATTTATTTACTCGATATAAATTACTCATGATCATGATTATGCAAAATTATTAAAATATTATAAATTTATTCAACTAGGATATGCGGAGAAAAAAGTTGTTTGTTATTATACCAACTGGTCGATATACAGGCCAGGCACGGCCAAGTTTTCACCTGAAAATATAAATCCCTATCTTTGTACGCATCTTATTTACGCTTTTGGAGGGTTTACGAAAGACAATACGCTCAAACCGTTCGATAAGTATCAAGACATTGAAAAAGGTAATTTTTAATTATATATTTATTTATTTTTAGATTATTTTAATAGTATAAATAGTTGATGATTTTTTTTTTTGGTATTAAATTTTTATAAAGTAAAAGTTTTGAAATATTTCAAGTTTTTTAAAGTATAAAATGTTACTTAAGAAAAAAAATGGGTGTAAAGGCTTTAAAAAATTCATTTTTTTTTTTGTTTTTATGAGTCGCTAAAAACTACTCAAAAATATACTCTTAAAATTTCAAAACGAAATCAAAACAGTATTTTAGTGGGCGCTCGAAGAAAAAACCATTTTTTAAAATTTTTATGAGATTATGAATGAAAATATTGATGTTGGGTTTGTTGAGTTTAGTTAATACACCTTTGAAATAGATTAAAAGAATTTTTGTTATATATTTTATGACTTTTTATCATAAAAAATTCTATTTCAATAGCACGCTTCGATTAGTGGGGAGGTCTGCGCTGGTGTTAAAATTTTGAACAAATTTTGAATGTTTAAATTCAATATATCACTAGAAATCAGCTAAACTAAAATTTTTAATTTACATCTGAAAATAAAAACGGCGGCAAAAATAAGAAGAAACAAAATTGCATGTTTTTTACAACTTTCTGCAAAAAAAATGATAAAAAGCGAAATTTTTAAACAACTTTTGTTCGGCCGATTCCTACAAATCCCTAATCAAGAAATCTGATTTGAAATAATTCAATTATTACAAAGTGTTTATCTTTATATTAGTCGATTCATTTTAAATTGTTTTTTTAATCATTTCAACTTAGATTTCTTCATCAGGGATGTACAAAATATGTGATTAAAATTTAATAACAATAATTTCAGTAGTTTTTGAAATTTTAGCACTGCGCGGTGTAAAAGTGTGGTTTCTCAGAAAAACGCGTTTAAAGTTTTTTAAACCTTATTAGCGCGCCCACGTAGTTACATCTAAGGCGCGGAAAAGTACAATTAGATTGCTTGGATCGATTTAAAATTCTGAGAGAGTACTCTCGAACATATTGATTAAAAAAAGAAAATTCTTTAAAGTTTACAAATATAATACTATTTTAAATTTTAATTATTGTAAATCATATTATTATTATTATTATTATTATCTTTTGGTAATTAAATAATTATTTTAAAGTAAATGATTTTTATATTAAAATTCATATCATAATTTAAAAATAATAATGTTTATTTAGATCTTTCATAAGCAATGTTAATATAGTAATGAACTTGATGAAGAATAATGGCTCAGTATTTTTTGTTAAATTAAGCAAACAATCTTTAATAAGCAACACATTACAATAATATAAATGAAATTGTAAGCAAGATAATGATAGCATTGACTCAAGCTTTGTAATGTAAATTATACTGAATTATTTAGCATAAATGATTGTATAAAATAATTACAAATAAAACTTTGTGTACCGAGCCTGAAGTGATAATTTGCTTAAAATATAGATCACTAAGCCAAAAATAGAGATCAATTATCTTTCATAAAGTTCATTATAATTTTAATATAAGATCAGAACTCCGAATCAAATTGAATTGTACATTATTATGATAATAATAGGTGGATACGCCAAGTTTAATGGTCTGAAAACCTACAATAAGAAACTAAAAACGATGCTGGCGATAGGAGGGTGGAATGAAGGTTCTACGCGATTTTCTCCGATGGTAGCAGACCCAGAAAGACGTCGCGCGTTGGTTAAAAACGCAGTTAAATTTTTGCGTCAGAACCACTTTGATGGACTGGACCTCGATTGGGAGTACCCGGCTTTCCGAGATGGCGGGAAGCCGAGGGATAAAAATAATTACGCGGATCTCGTCCAGGTAATGTAATTGATTTTTAATCGAGAGAAAAACTAACTATGCTATTAGTTCTAAGCTTGAGTAATTAAATAGAAGATAATAATCTAATCCGATGTTACTGAAATTCGACTTGGCCCCGATCGATTTAGGAACTGAGGCAAGAATTCGAGAGGGAATCATCGAAGACTGGACGACCGAGATTGCTTCTTTCTATGGCAATACCCGCGGGTATTGAGTATCTGGAGAAAGGATACGATTTGGCAAGACTCAATGAGTACCTAGATTTCTTCAATCTCCTATCCTACGACTACCACTCGGCATTTGAACCTGCCGTTAATCATCATTCCCCGCTCTACGGGCTCGAGGAGGACAACGAGTATAATTATGACAACGAACTCACTGTCGTAAGCTATTTTTATTTATAAATTAGTTTTGTACTTACCTTAAATTAGTCAGATTAAACTCGTCTCTGATGGGTGATTAGATGTCTGTCATGTGATGTGATGAGAAATTATTAACAGTCATTTTTGTAATTTCAGGATTTTACAATGTCTTATTTACTTAAACATCACGTTTCTCCGGACAAATTAATCTTGGGAATCCCAACTTACGGACGCTCGTACACTCTATACAATCAAGACGCCACTGCGATTGGCTCTCCGGCTGATGGTCCGGGAGAAGAAGGAGACGCTACTAGAGAAAAAGGATACCTTGCTTATTATGAGGTTAATTAATTTTTAATTTACGATTCTTTGGTAAGCTATTACAGTGGAATTTTTTTATTACCTAGTTTTATTGCAGATCTGCGCAAATGTTAAGTCAAGTCAGTGGGAAGTCGTCCAGCCGAATCCAAAAGCCATGGGCCCGTATGCTTTCAAAGGCAATCAATGGGTCGGTTATGATGATGAAGATATTGTCAAAATGAAGTCTCTGTATGTTGTTGAGAAGAACTTGGGCGGTATCATGTTTTGGGCGATTGACAATGATGATTTCCGTGGTAATTGTCATGGTCGTCCGTACCCACTTATTGAGGCGGCCAAGGAAGCCTTGTTAGGTGCAATTGAGTAAGTTTCAACTTGAGATTGGTTTTTAATTTCTAGAACAAATTTTTAACTTTACATCAGTATTTATCCGCAATTAAGATCTGGCTTTTTGTAAACGTTTAGAATTTTTTATTTGCAAAAATAAATGACGTCAATATTATTGAAATATATATCTTATAAGTTGATTTTGAAAAATAAAAATTACTTTTAGTTTTATATATTAACGTTTCTATAATTGTAATTGAAATTCTCTTGAACTTAAATTATATTCAATTAAAAAAATTTTTTACAAAAGGATAATTGATCATCTATCATATAGGCACTAAAACCTCTGAAAGAACCTGCAGCTTTTGATAAATGTACATTCGATGAAATAAGACGAAAAGTAAGGATAAAGCTTTTCGATATCTCACTTAGTTTTTGAGATATAAATATTCGAATATTTAAAAAAAAAAAAAAAAAAAAAAAAATAAGAAAATTTTATTTTTAATTATTTTTATCTTAATATGTTTCAAAATTAAAAAACAATTGTCTGCGGACTTATTGACTATAAAAATGAAGGAACATCAAAATTAATTATATATTTTACTTATAAATAAAATTTTGTTATTATTTAGAAACGAACAAACGACACAGAAACCGAAATCAGGACTGAGGAAAAAAACCAGACCTCAACTCAGTAGCCAAAGGTCAAACGACTCTAATAACAGACGAGCGAGACCAGAAAAACAAAGACCTACTACAACTCAGTCTCCAAGAAAACGAGTTTCCCAGAGAACCGAGTCTAACGCTCGAAACCGGGGAAGTTCAGAAGAAAACGAGGACCGGAAAGTTGAAGACGAAGGCAACGCTGTTAGAGAAACCAGTGGTCAATGGAAATCGAACCAGAGAAACCGATCTAGCAAAGGAACAAATCGTAGAAAGGTTCAGACGACCGAGAGGTATGAAGAACCAATTGAAGAAGAAGCTAGAGAGTCGACGAGTGGCAGATTGACGACACCGGAACCTCCTACTACTCCTGATCCTGGAAGTGGTAAGTCTCTTATTAATGTCATACGTTAATTGCCGCAATTTTTACTTGAATAAGTAGAAAGTTTATAATTATATTGTTTTATTTATTGTTATTACTCACGCAGATTTCAAATGCGAAGATGAAGGATTTTTCTCTCACCCGCGAGACTGTAAAAAATATTTCTGGTGCCTCGACAGCGGCCCGGGAGGTCTCGGTATCGTTGCTCATCAATTCACATGTCCGTCGGGATTAGTATTCAACAAAGCCGCAGACTCGTGCGACTATCCCAGGAATGTTGTCTGTCCAAAAGCGAAAACCAAAGCCGCGACAACGACTCCCAAAGCTCCGGTGACTACTACGAGTCGGCCGACCACCACGACGAGACGCACCACAACAACAGAAGAGACGAACTCTGCCGAAGAGTACGAGTATGAAGAAGACGAAAATGCGACTGACGAAGAAATTATTGAAGAAATAAAAAGTACGACCTCGAGACCGCTGATTTACAAAACGATATCGAGGAATAAGCCAACGACTATGACTACAGAGGCTACTGAAGCTCCAACGACGAATCCCCCGAGAATTTTCAAGCCGAATTCCGCGAAAGTCTTCGACCTAGAAGACGAAGAGGACCCGAGAGTCATCAAGGAGCTTATTGAGCTGATCAAAAAAGCTGGAGGCTTGGAACAGCTGGAACGCCAGCTGAATATCCAGGAGAAGAGTCCAATGAGAAAGTCCGACACTGGAGACGACGGACCAGTCGTCACTCCGGCGACAATCAGCCGCAGTTTGTACGAAAGAGTCCTCAGTCGGCAGGCAAACAAAGTCAACCATTTATTCGGGCCGACCACTCAGAGAACTACCACCGAAGAGTCCAAAAAGACCAAGAGCGAAACCCAGAATGGACCTGGTGGAGCGCAGTTCGAAGGTCTAGATGACGTACCGGAAGTTAAAAGTCTCAGGCGCACTAAAAAACCACAGTATGTTACTATAGAAAGACAAAGGTATAAATTTTAAGGAAGAATTTTATTATATCTAGGTTTTAAAAACTTAACTGAGAATGTGTTTTTGTTGCAGACCTTCCACCACTCCGGTATTTGAAGATGAGTTCGACGAAGAAGAACTGGCGGATGAAAGCTCTGAGGAAGACAATGCGGATGTTGCGTCCTCTGAAGAGCAAACGGTTAGCGACCTTCCGGAAAGTAGAAAAGACTCGGCTAAGAAAGTGACGCCTAATTACGTAAACATTCTTCGCAGTCGTCCGACTACTTCTGCGTAAGTTAAATATTTTAATTGCTCGGTAATTACTGCAAAAAAATAATTGGATGAAAAACGGTAATTCTATTCTGTGACTTTTTTTTTTTTTTTTTTTTTATGTAGGTATGAAAATGATTTAGATGTTAGAGACGAGGCTAAGGAAAAAGAAGCGAAATTTTCACAAGAAAATTCAGACAAGTATAAAAAATTAGCAATTAATTATTATTATTTTTTTTTTCTACTTTGTTTAGTTGATAAAAATAAAATGAATTATTTAATATATTTTAGAACTGAAAATGAAAGCTTCTCTCGCCAGAGACCAGTAATTTCATCGTCAAATGACGACGTAGAAAAAGAGACAGTGGTCCCAAAAAATAGGTAAAAAAAATGATAATAAAATGTTTTTTTTTTTTTTGTCATTTAAAATATCTCGAGTAATGAAATTGAAAATATTTATAGGTATACTAACACTCAACGATTCAGAAGTACCACTTTAAGAACAGATGAATCAACAGCTTTCACCGAGAGCATTAAACCCAGTGAAAAAACTACAACGGAGATTGTAAACCCGACAACTCCGGCAATTAATCAAGAAAGAAAAGAACTAATTTCAGAAACATTAGCCTTTTCCACGTTACCTGTCTCTACAATTGAGTTTTCATCGACACCAGTTGCTGAGACGAGCAAACAACCATCAACAGCTACAGAAGTAATATCAGGATCTAAAGCGACAATCAGCACCACGCATTTGCCTCTTGCAGAATCAACAATTGAAGAGGTGGAAAATTTGGTCACTGAAATTCCAATGACAACCCAGCCGACAACCAGAGCCACTCAAGCATCCCGCACGACGGCTGTGTCACAACCGCGACCCTTCGGCTTTCCAAGACGTGGACGACCGACGACTACTACAGCATCACCTACGGTCGCTTCAACGACAGATCAATCTCGAGTTAAGGTGAGTACTAGACCGACGAGAAACTTTGCGAGAACAAGAACAAGGTCGAAACCAAGCGAGTTGACCATCGAAAATCAAAATCATCTTGACGCCGAAGTTTCTGATGATAATTTGAGCGAAAATGTCAAGCCCAAACCGGTGAGCAGCAGTAGATCGAGATTCGTAATACGGCGAGGAGGCTCCCGGTTCTCTACCCAGCCGTCAAATGTCTCCGAGAGTTTTAACGATTTTTCGGGGCGAAGACGAACCAGGCCCACTACGACTACGACTACAACTACGACTCCAGCAGCTTCTGAATCAACGCCCGCTGAGAGCAGACCAACTAGTCAGCGCAGACGAGGAAGACCTACTACTACTACTACTACTCCCATTCCTGATTCTACTACTCAGAGCAATAATAACCGAAGACGACGACCGACTACTCCAGTGACAGACAGTCCAATCTTTAGAATAGTGCCCCAAAGTGTCCAAGAGCCGGTTTTAAATTACTCCAGGTTGGGATCAAACACCAATGAAGACTCTGAAAAAATAACAAATCTTAAAATCTTGAAACTTGCCGAGTATCAAAACGACTCTTTGAATGCCATTGAATTTACTACGCCTGAAAATGAAACTTCAAAACAGGATCTTGACTCAGCAACCGAATCGACGACATTAATAACTTCTCCCGACCCTTTCACTAAGTACACGACCGCAGACTATTCAACTCTGACAACGGTAGATGCCGAGGAAAGTGAAGGTGAACAGAAACAGACAAAGAAAAAGGTGCTGCTGAGAAAGCGACCGGTTTCGGACGATAACTCCTCTGAAGATACTCTCAAGCGACGGCGCAAAATAATAAGGCGCTTAGGACCTGTTTCTCAGGAAGAAAATCTGACAACCACTTCTGGGAGCTATGTTGAAAACAACGAAGTTATTACAACTACAGAGTCTTTTAATACTTTGAATGATCAAGAGAATTCAACGGTTGAAGCTACTACAGTCGCTATGGACACACAGTACACTACAACAGATATGGAAACCACGACTGTTATTTCTTCTGAAGAAAACACGACATTGATCAGCAATGACATTGATGCGGAAACAACTACCGTAAATTCTATGACAACCGATGATTCTTCGGAAATAGTAACTACGACGGTAGTTACTACAACAGTCGCGCCTTCTACGACTGAAAAAGTAAATACTAGATTTGTAAGAAGAAAATTTGTTCGCAAGCGACCTGTAGGTTATTCCGCATCATCTACTACGCCAACTAGACGATTTGGTTTTCCTAAAAGTACAACAGAAGTGCCTACTTCCAGCTTCGCTCCCTCGAAACGTCGGAAGAATTTGTTTGTTCGCAGACGACCCCTTCCCTCAACGACGTCCTCTAGTAGTGAGTCGTTTGAAAACGACGAAGATAACGAATTCAACACTGTGACAGTAGACGTTAAGACTTCTTCGGTAAGTGTCGACACAGATAACTTTTGGAAGCATTACACGACATTTGCTCCTCAGACCATTACACCCAGCTCACAACAACCAGACACAACACCAGCAATCAATGACTCGTCTCCTGAGAGGTCCACTGAAAAACCTGGGGAACCTCGTCAGACTCGAATTAACTCTGAGATAAAGGACGAGATTGCCGAGTCATCTAAAACATCATCACCACAGCCTTCTTCATCTGCAACACAAGACAAACCTAATTTAATAGCTAATTTCTGGCAGAGCTTAAACACTAAAAATAGATCATACTTAAAACGCACCAGCTCCTCGACAACTACAGATGCATCTGTTACTGAAACTCTAGTACCGTCGAAGAAATTCGACTACATCGCCGACGCTATTATCAGAAAACACCAGTCGCAAACAAAAGCAACCACGAAGTCATCAATTGATGATGATAATTCATTGGAGCTTGAACACACGACGCCGTTGACAAAACCACAAGTCACCAGACTGGTTACCTCGGTCGTCGAATCTGGGACGACCGAACGACAGATTATTCTCATTAAGACTAAATACTCCTCACAGACGTCCATGACAAAATTTCCAATTGACAATCCACTTAACGCACTCGACCAACAACAGCAACAGCAACAGCAATCACCATTGAAAATTCAGTTCTCAGACGAGCCTCGTAATTTGATAAACAATCACATAAATGAGTCGACTGAAAAGACTCCTGAGAAGTCAACGCTGCCTATCGAAACGGAATTCGCAAGGCGGCCGCGGTTTTTCACAACCGAATCGACTGTTGAGTCGTCGACAATCGCCATTGAGTCGGTGTTCAATAATCTAATAAACAAAAACAAAAATAAACTTCAGCTTTGATGATACTTTTCATTTAAAGTGTATAGTTTATATTTATAAATAACATACCTGATTTATTTATAATTTTTAGTCATCAGATAAGTATTCATAAGTGTACATTTACAAAATCATAAACAAGCTATTCATAAAAATTTAAAGAAACCATGACCATGACCAAAGGATTATTAAAATTCTATTAGATGTTAATGCTTTGCCAGCGACTTTAGCTCGACTCTAAACGTCGAAAGTCCTGTAGTCTTTCTCTTCTGTCTTCTCTGTCTGCTTACACTATTACAACAAAGATATGAGACAATCAAATGCTAGCTTTGAAAACACTATTGTTATAAAATGATATAACCATTAAACAACGTGTTTTCAGATCAGTCCGGCTCAAGATCTTCCGACTCTCAAGAATTTAATCAATCATGAATTACTAAGTCAAAGCGTTGATCATGTTTATGATGATTTTGATGAAGAAATAGTTAACTCTGGTAGTTATGAGACAGATAGTGATCATTTTCAGGGCATTCCAGTTTCTGTCAGAATACTCAGTGACGAAAATAGTCAAGAACTTGCTGATCAACTAGCTGTCCTTCATCTCCCGCAGAGTATTTTGAATTCTTTGGTTTCTCACAGTAATATCCTGAGAATTCAAGTGGTCAATCAGCCGCAAGAAGACGATAATAATGATATTAACAAGGACAATCTTACAACTACAACTAGTTTTACAGATTCAACTTTGACCACTGAAACGCCAACTACAATCCAAGAAAATCCTTCGAGTGTACGAGGGTTCTTCATCACCAAAAGTCTCAATACATCTCAATCAACCACGCCAACGCCAACAAGTGACTCTTCAGAGCCATCAACTATCCAACCAAGCACTCAGTCGACTGATTTACCAGAATCGACAACTGATTCTTCAAACTTATCAACTCAATCTACCGTTTCTTTCGCACTTTCTCTGTCTACTTCATCCACTAGTGATTCTAGTGAAACAACTTCAGAAATAGAAGTTAATTCGTCGACAATTAGTCCTGTAGATGCAACTAGGGAAATAGTTAGTAAAACAGTAACAATTAACGAAGTAACAACTCTACCTCCGACCACTGAGCACACGACGGTTTCTTCTGAAACTGAAAGAGCTCTAAAATCAATAAAACAGATAACAGTTCTTCGCCGTCGACTAGATGAATCAATAGCCGATCCCTCTAGGCAAGATCGTCAGTTTGATTCTCAGGAAAGTAAAATCACAGCGCCGGACGCGTCGCAGAACAACTGGAGGAAAAGGGTGATCCGAAAACGGCCTAGGTCTTTGCTGGTTGAGGACCAGAGTCTATCGGAAAGCCAATTTCAAGACACTGTGGTCACGGGCAAGTCGGTGGTCCCTCCGACAAATACTGATGATAAGCTCAATAAGACTGGGAAATTACTCACCGTTGGAGAGGTCAGTCATTATCGAAAGTCGCTGACGTTTGTATTTATGCTGCTATGGGTCTGCCTTCTAAACGCCTTCTACTCTGAAACAATATTGAATTTATAATATAAATATGTATAATAACTCGAGATGTTTTATCTCACGGGCTGAGGATTCTAACAAACATCAGCAATCAAGACTACATTCTAACGCCTCAAAAATATCTATAGTATAAATATATAAATACACAAATAGTGTTGACGTGAACAAACTCCGTTGACATGGACTCTTACGGGGAAATAACAATCTTGTATATCTGTAGCCTATCATTATTGTAATTATTGTGAGAATATGCTTCAAGCGATCATCGATTATTATGATGATAACTGTGCTTAATTCTATTCTTCACCGGCTTAATTTTAATATTTAAGTCTTATTAACGCTTTTGTGTTCAATTTCTATAAATCTTTTTTTTTTTTATCTAATTTGAATTTCTCCATTTATTTCTAAAAAAAAAATTACATATTTATTAAAATCTAAACTTTCTCTTAAAGTTTCTAAACAAATAAAATTATCAATAGGTCAATCCGGTGCGCACTTCAACTAACTTTTTAAGGAAGCCTGGAACGCGACTAGAAGTTCAAAACCGGCTTAAAAATTCCAGAAATAAAACTCAAGGTAAATTTAGTAATTTATTTCTTCATTGATCATTTCGCGTGCCTAAAGGTAAAAGCTTATAACAATTTATGCGCCCTTTTACTTTTGCAAAGGTAAAAGGGCGTACATTTTTTTTTTATTGCCAATCGAGTAATAGAAACATTCTATACGCTTTTATTTTTGAGAATTTTACGCCGAAATTTTGGTGATCTAAAGATGAAAGGGTATATAATTTTTTTTTCGGCCAGTTTACAAAAGAACATATTCGTAGTTTAAAAATGTGAAAATCAACTATACAATTTTTAAAAGTTAAAAAAGAAAATATATTTAAAAAACAATAAAGTACGCGTGATTTAATTATTTACGTAGTTTTTACTTTAAATTAATTACTTAATTTTTACATAATTTATTTTTGATTGATTTATTTTCTATTTATTTATATCAAACTTTGTATATGAGGCTGTTATTTTAGTATAACTTGTCTTGTGAAACTATTATTCAACATTTGGAATCAAAATTACAATTTTTTTTATGCGCCCTTTTACCTTTAAGATACCAGCTTTTTTTTAAAAAATTTTTTTATACGCCCTTTCAGCACAAATCCCTATTAACCCTTAGCTATAAGCCCTTTTACCTCTAAGCACGCGATTTACTAGAGATAAATAAATAAATACTAATAAATAAATCATCAACTAGATGGAACAAACTCGGAAAGAAGATATTCCAGTAAAGTAAAGTCAGATTACGACCAAAGCGGTCGTGCGCAAGAGCTTGAAGTATTGGTAGCAGACCCACCGACAGAAACTTCTTCACCTCGACTAGGTATGTTGAACATTAACCATCAGCTCATTGGTTACGTAAATAATTTCTTTTGAATCAGAGTCTATGTGTCTAATAAAATAAAAAATTCTCACTTGTGGTTTCTTCAGCATTCTTTCTAATGGTGTCACAATGACTGTAATTAATAACTACTGGTTTCTCCCTCAGCTCGATATAGTCCAAGGTGGTTACATCATTGAACTAACAAATTCACCAAGTTACCCAATCAAAGTCTGCAATGGGCAGATTTATCTTCATCATTACTCTTCTACTATCACTACTACTTCTTCTTCTACTTCTATTGACTTAATAGTATAATATTAATGCATCATTTAATAATTTTTTTTAAAAATAACACTCAGTGGTCATAATCATGAATCATTTTTCGTTCAATCACCAAGACATTACCTATTAAATCCATAAATATAAAAATATTTTTACGGCTTATGGCCAGGTAATGAAAAAATAGCTTCGAGGTTGAGAGATGTGAGAGATAGCGTCGACGAAGACGCTACTGAGCCGTCAATATTCACCACGGCCAGAACTACTACGCCAACTAGGCGGAGACAGAAACCCAAGAGTGAAAGACCGGTAAAGACAACGACACAGCGGCCTAGACACCCGGCGATCATTGACTACGACTACTACGTCGACGAGGAAGTCCGTCTGTCACTAGGTCCCGAGCTCCGGGACAAAATTTACGTGACAGACCGCGGGACTATTGGTTGTCTGGACCAAGGAACCTTCGCTCATCCTACATCGTGCAAAAAATTCATCACCTGTGCCAAGATGGTTGGTGGCCAGGTCAGCGCTACGGAGTACACCTGCCCGAAGAAACTGTCTTTTGATCCGGTCGGTGGCATTTGCAACTGGTCCGCTGGTCTTGGTTGCAACGAATCTACATAATTTTTTTTTCATTAATTACTTATGGTAATTATTTTTATAATAAAGTAATTACTTACGATATAGATAAAAGATTGTTAAAGGCATTACTTGCTGATCGCTGATTATAAAAATAACTATTTTTGATATAGTTTATGATTTTAAATTTAACGCAATATGATCATTGAAACTGTAGCCATATGTATATTACTTTTTAAGCACAGTGTCGTGATATTATCGTTTAAATGTATGTGTATCAGATATATTCATCGTTGTATATATAACAATAATTATTTTGTAAATAATTGTAAGATTTAATTTCATTAAATTTTTGAAATAAAATTTTTGTTTTTTTGGAATTATTTGCAACCCTTTTTTTTCAAAGATGAATATTAATTTAGGAGATATTTTATAATTTTAAGAATTTTTTTAACAAATAATTTAAGTCAAAGAAAATGAGAAAAAAAATTGACATTTAGAAAATTAAAAAAATAAAAAATCAAATTTTTTTTAAATAATTTTTTGAAGCAAATTTATTTATTAAAAAAAATTAAAAAATGGTCAAGTGACTACTAACTTTAATGTCATTTTTCAAAGACGTTTTTTGAAAACAATAAAAGATGTAAATCAGTTTTTTTTTTTTTTTCAACGTTCTTTTCCATTATTGTTTCATCAAAAGAAGTTAATTTATAATAATATAAAAGTATTCTAGGGTTTTGATAATTTTAAATTGTTATTTGATAATTTAAAATTTTTAACAAATAAATTATGGCATAAAAAAAATGAGAAAAAAAAACTGACATGTAGAAATTAAAAATCCAATTTTTTTTTTAAATAATTTTTCAAAACAAATTTGTTGAATAAAATTAAAAAATTGTAATGTGACAGCTAACTTTAATTTCATTATTTCACAAAATTTTTTAACTTTAAATATAGTAGTAGTAATTCACTTTTGCTCTTTCCCAATTCTATTTATCATCGTTGAACTTTCCTTAATTTAAATGATACTAAATCTAGCCGACGTTTTTAATAATTAAATTAGAACAAAAAAATAGTTTTTAAAAATTGTACTTACAGTTTTTCAAGTTTTTAACAAATGACAATTTTTTTTTTTTTCAATAAAAAAAATTTTTTGAGTTGTTAAATGTCGGCTAACTTAATTTTCATTAAATTATCAGCACCTTTGATAGTTGAAAGAAAGTGCCTCTAGCGCCAAGTGGCAATAATTAGAACTACCGTGAAAAAGTTCTACAATATAAATTATAAATTCAGCCAGCACTCGGTAAGGAGACACTTCTTAATTATCTTCTCCGTATTTAGATGTGTGAATAAAAAAGAATCGAATTATAATAAAAAGTGTGCAATAAGTATATGAATTAAATGTGGATCGATCAGAATTATAATAATAATAATAATTAATCTTTCATTGATATATATAACCAGTATAATGCGCCAACAATATTGTCAAATACAACAACGAATAATAAACCTGACAAGGTTATACCCGGGTTAACACATTATTTATCCATCCTCAGTGTTTAAGGTTGTAGTGTACTGCTAGTGATTCATCATATGTGTCCATTTTATTTATTTAATTACAATTATTCAAATTATTAAACGATGGAGACCAATCCAGAGGATAATAACTCGGTTGTGGAAAATTTAGAAGGTAAATTAAAATTATTTATAAATTTACTTGTCAGTTTATTGTCATTATTCATTAGTACTGACAAGTTGTATTTAACCTACTATTAGTGTTATTGATGCTAATTACCACATGATTTAATAGGAAATAATAATTAAATGAATATTTTTTCCTAGTTGACTTACAAACAAAACTGGAAAGGTTGCAATCAGAAAATTCTCACCTGCGAGAAGAATTCAATGTCCAGCGAGCTAAAATGAAAGAATTATTTCTGCAAAAAGAAGGTGGGCTTAAATAATTAATTGAAAATGTACTAATGTATTGGTCTGGTTTGGATTAAATTATTAATACTTAATTACTTAATATTGCAGAGGAACTGAAGAAACGATCTAAAGAGAATTTAGAGCTGCAGGATGAATTAGTTAAATTAAAGCACGAGTTGGATGAATCCAAGAGCCAGCTGGTCGTGGCGAATATCAGATTAGAGAATGACATTGACGTAGAGTCCCATAAAGCTCAAGAAGAGATAGCGTCACTCCAGCAGGTTATTCAGGACACGATGGAAGAGTCAGCGTGCACGCGAGAGCAATTAGAAATGGAAGTTGCCAAGCTTCGTGGTCACATTTTAAAAATAGAGGAGGAAAATTCGTTCCTTAAATTACAGATGTCTAAAGATTTGCCAGTAGACGGTCCTCAGATATCACTGTCGCATGTCACGAAAACTCTCGCAAGAAAAGTTGTCTCCCAACTGGGAGCTGACTCGCTGTCTCTGGGCTCAGATAATATTGAAGAAAATATGAAGAAGGTCAAAAAATATGTATGTATATTTTTAATTTAATTTAAAGCAATTGGAAATTATTTATTATATTTTGTTGCTTGATAATTTTTTCTACTTTTTAGGCGCAAGAAGATGCTGAGGTACTGAGGTCACTGGTTGTACCGCTGGAAGAAGAAATAAAAGCGTTGAAAGAAAAACTTAGGTCAACGGATGATGAATTGCAAAAATTTAAGGAGTTACCTCAGCCGCTGTTGCAACCAAAGAAACTAGACGGAGACCAGGGTGAAGATACGTGTGATATGTGTGTAAATTATGAAGCTCAATTGGTTAAAATTCAGACGACAGCTAAGGAACTGGAGAAACAATTGGCTGAAACTGATAGAATGCTGCAGGCACAGCGAGAAGAACTGATAAAAGAGGTGGAGTTTCGCAAAGGAATGGAGGAAAAGTGGAATGAGAAAAAGGAAGAGCACAAAATCAAAGTCACTGAGCTGACTTCAGCTTCGCTGCAGGCTCAGCAAACTCTACAGGAGTTGAAGATGCAGTTTAGGCAAATGCATCAGGGTGTCGGTGAAGAACTAGCTAAATTGACTCGTGGGAGAGAAGAAGTTCAGAGGCATTTAATAGAGTAAGTATTTTTTATTTCTTTAATTTAATACTTGGTTGAATTAAAAATTTATTTATATAAAAAATAAAATGTATTTTTGTGCAGATTACAGAGAGAAAATGAAGTACTTGTAGGTAAACATAGTAAACATTCCCAACAGCTGCAAAGTGAAAACATAAATATGCCAAATACTGTTGAAGAACTACATATGAGTTTACTGAGAGCTCACGAAGATTTGATTATTGCTAGAGTAGCTCAAGAAGTTGCGCAGGAAAAAGAAGCTACTATGCAGTATGAGTTGAACTTGCTGCGGGAGCAAATGATTGCTGAAAAAGACGAAAAAATAGAGAGATTAGAAAATTCACTGAGGGAAGCTTTAGCTGCGAGAAAAGAAGCTGATACGACGATCGTTGAATTAAGACAACGGGTAACAAGCCTCCAGCAAGTATTAGAGACAAGTGGGGAGGTACAGAAAGATTTTGTTCGACTGTCCCAGTCGCTTCAGGTAATTGCTGATTGACTATTGATTAGTAATTAGTGGTTATTGTTGAAATTATTACTGTGATTTTTTATTTTTTGAATAGGTTCAATTGGAAAAGATACGGGAATCTGGTAGTGAAGTGAGGTGGCAACACGAAGAAGATGTTGATGAATGCCCGACGTGTCATACCGTTTTTTCGCTTGGAAAGAAAAAAGTAATTAAAAAGATAATACTTAATCTTTATTAGTCTGTTTAATTATAATTTTTAATTGGTTTTTGTGTTATCTGATATATAGGTACACTGTCGACACTGCGGTCATATATTTTGTCAAGCTTGTTTATCTCATGTTGTAAACAGCGGTCCGAAGCAAAGACCTTCCCGAGTTTGCGGTGTTTGCCACACGTTACTTGTTCCACATACCGCGCCATACTTTAGTCAACAACCTCCACATACACCAGATTAATTAAATTTTATTTATTTAGGATTCCCCGATGAAACTAATTAATTAATAATTATAATGAATAATTAAAACAGCAGAGTAAAGCGTGCAATAAAATATTTAGTGCGACAATATTGTCACACTAAATTACTAAAACAATTTCTTTAATGAATATGTTTTAAAAATATTTATCGCTTGAATAAAAATTAAACTTTTCAAACAGATGAATTATATTTTACAATTTAAAATGTTCTGGAGTTCAAATTTATCTTGAATTTAAATTATAAAAAAATAAAAAATAAATATAAAAAAAAATATAATTTATTGTTGTACATAAATAATATGTAACGTTTAATGTAAATTTATGAAAATATTAATGCTTTTGAATGTAATTTCACTTTATTTATTATTATTATTATATCAGCCTCGTGATTTTTTTTCTTTTTCATTAAATTTACTTTTATTACCCTCGTTAAAATCATTTTATGATAATATAACTATAAATATGTATTTATGAAAACGTAAATAATCAACACATTTATTTAAAAGATTTCGTGTACTTTATCAAGTTTCCTTTTTATATAAACTATTGTGATGTATTGATAATATTTAACGGATATTATCTCTGTACATATTGTTTTAATTTGTTGCTTTTTTTTTTTTTTTTTTTTAACATGATTAATGTTGATACACAGATTTTGGTATATCTAGATGTTTAATATATTAACGATTGAGTTTTTTTTTTTTTTTTTTAATATTTGGAATATCACTAGTATTGTATAAAAAACTGTCTGATATATCATTATTCACTGATCTTCTGATAATTAAACGTCTTTAGTTTTAAAATTCGCGCTTATACATTTATCAATATTGCATTATCATTATTTGTGATCTAAAAATTGCTTACATGATTATGTAACAATGGATTCATAGAAAAAAAAATCCGTTTTTACATCATTTTTTACTAAATGAACTAAACTCCAAAAAATTCCGACTAATATAGCTTTAATTGGATATTATTTTAGTGATTGAAGAGGGATCTGAATACAGATCAACGTCTTCATAAAATAAAGTCATTACAATTAATAGAGTTTTTTTTTTTCTCTTAACGCCGAAAAAAATATATACGTATTTATGTAAAATAAATTACATCGAAAAAAATGTTTTTATCACATTTTCAATGGGTTGAGGGCATTCGTTTAAGTCAATCGGCGAGTGCTCGGACTGATTGTACTGTTTTCTCAAGTCATTCCAACAAATTAAAGTGTCTCTGTACTCCAAAAGTTTGTCGTACTCGTGTAATTTTTCATACACGTGCAATAAACCCCGGTAATCGTATTCCAGTCCGCTGTAACTCTTACCGAATAACTTAAGATCTGCAAACAAAAATAAACAATTAAAAAAATAAACATTTAATATATTTCTGGATGAAAATTCTAAATAATAATGATAAATATGACACTGAAGTTGACAGATATTAAAAATTTTTTTTTTTAGAATTTTATAGGGTAAATGCACCAGTAGTTGACCGATTAAGGATTTTTGGCATTTCAATTGATCGTAATTAAATTATTATACGCTAAAAAATAAAAATTTTAAGTTTATATGAACCTTAAATATTTAAGTTTTTGATATGTGAAGTTATTTAAAATAATTATTCATAAAATTACATATAAATTCACGTTTAAATGTAGGTAAGATAAAAACACCAGTAGTTGACCGACTTGATCCAGTAATTGACCAAGGAGTGTTCCAGTAGTTGACCGATTCTCAAACATTGGTTATTATGTAAATTTTAATTAGTTTTTTATGTTTAGTATACAATGTTTTTATGCTTATTTATTTAAATTAGATTTGTATTGGTAGTAAACAAAATTCGTTTAGTTTAGAACAAAACTAATAATAATCCCAGAGAGCAACAGATTAGTAAATTAAACTTCGATTCAATAATGACAAAAGCAAAATATTTTTTTGAGGCACACGTATGCAATTATTAACAGTTTATAAATTATTTATAAAATACGATTTATTAAGTGTTAATGAATATTTGTTAACTTTTAACAAATATTTATTTAAAATGAAAAGCAAAAATAGCAATTTTCTTTTGACACTTTTTATAACCCTACAGCTAATACATGATAATAATTCAATTCACTAAATAAATTAACGTTCTTAATAATTAAAAATATAAAAGATATTTGAGCTGTGATAAAATTTGTTATGTAACAGTAAACGTTATTATAAAATAATGTAAAGCAATAATGTATATAAAGCAATCATTCATAATATAAGTATGACATTGCAAGCGAAACCTAAATTCACTCAATAAAATATTTATTACCTGTTTATAAATATTGGGTAAATATAAAGAAATACTTATTAACTATTAATAAATGTACTCTTTTCTCCTAAATAAATTAAATTATTAATAGCTAATAAATCCTTTTATCAATGTACAAATTTAAACTTGACTCAACAATCATCTTATTTGAAACACATTATAAACAATAAGCATAAATACTTCTTTATTATTAATAATTATAAATTATTTTAAATAACAACACTTATGTAAATATAATATTATCACGTAAACATATTTATATTTTTATTTTATATAGGTTAGAAAGTTACAATTGTGCATGCGGTCAACTATTGGTGTTTTAAAAAATAGCAGGTTCCAATAGATGACCGAAGTCATTTATTGATGGTACAACGGTGTTTTATTGTGCCAGTATTTGACCGGTCGTTAAATTGGTATTTATTTGATTGTTTTTGTCAAATCTTATTGAGAGATTTGTTAAGAAACTATTAAAGACTACTTCAGAATTTAATTTGGCAAGATTAACCTAATGGAAACTTTTTTGTTAACTAAAACATGTAGTCGCCTCTCGGATACTCTACTATAGTATTTGACCGATTTTAGTCAGATTATGCGGTGAAAAATTTTCATGAATTATTTTCGATGTTCTAATAATTAAATAAAATCTGTAATACCTACCTATTCATTGTAATGATTATAAGTTTAACAATAGTTAAAAATAAATTTCAGGGTCATAAAAAATGCAGTTAATAATAATTTTCGGACTTTTTTTATCAAAGCGGTCAATTACTGGTGCCCGGTCAACTACTGGAACATTTACCCTAGCAATTAATTATAAAAAAAATTTAATTAAAAATTTCCAAGTGTGAAAATTAATAAAAATTACAAGTGAAAATTTTTAGAAGCATTTTTTTATAGTAATTTATTTGTTAAAAAAATTTTTAAAATTGCCAGCTGACGGTTAACTTCAGTATTATTGATAAATCCGAATACATACTAATGGCAATGCTGCGGTAGTAGAGTTTTTCCGCGTCACGATAACGATCCATATGAAAATTATAAAGCGAAGCCAAATGTCCGATGCTTAATCCAACTTCGTAGTCGTTGGAGCCCAGTAGTTCTTCCTTTATGCTTATGGCTTTTAAATGCATCTCTTCAGCTTCCTAATAACACAAACAAATAATCAATAAGTGTAAATTTAATAAGTATAAAAGTTATTTAATTTAAAAATTACCTGAAATCGACTCATGCTTTGATAGAGCCGACCTAAATTCCCGTAATGCTTAGCCGTTTGTACATTTCGCTCCCCGAAAGCCGTCTGGGCAAGACGCAGAGCTGAGAGATGCAGGTACTCGGATTCCAGTAACAAATCTTTATTCGACGTCGCACCATTGTCCTGCTCGTTATCGAGCGCTATTTCTTCCAATATCAGCGCCTTGACACGCTTCGCGCTGGCCAACATCAAGTGCTCGTACGGTAAAAGTTTTTCCATTATGTCAATAGCTCTCTCGACGTGTTCCCGCGCCTTAGTAAATCTACCAGAACTGTACTCACGTACATAGAGTGCGTACGCCAAGTCTTCGTGAGCAATAGCGACATGTAAATTAGTCCGTCCAAATATTTGTTCTCGTATTTGCAGAGCATTTTGATAAACATGAACACTATTAGTAATGCTATCAAAATTTAATAAATGAAATCCGTAGTCTATAAGAACATCACAAAATTTGGGATGATTTTTGTCAAATACTTCTCGTGCCAGATATACCGCCTGACGTATTAGCAAACCGGCTTTTTTAAACTCCCGCTTAACAACGCATGATTTAGCAGCCTGACGTAACACGTCTATTGTAATACGTGGCGGTAATGTTGGTTTTAATTCTTTCAATGCCGCGACACTCCACCCGTAAGCCTGATTATATTCACTTCTCATGAAAAAAAATACACTGAATTCTGCGTAAAGAGCTGCGTGATTGCAATCTTTATAACCAGCGTCCTGTAATTTTTTAATTGTATATAGTGCCAGCTCGTGTGTCTCCGCAGCATCTTTAAATGCACAGTAAGCTGCTTGGGCTCGAAGTAATTTATGACAACAGTCCAACGTACGACACCAATTTTCTGATGTTTCGCTCTCGCTGATACATAAATCTCTGCAGGATAATAAAACTTTTGTACTTTCTGCGTACCATCCAGCGTCGCTCAAAAAACTTCCGAGTTTAAGTCCGAGATCTATTATGTTCGCTTGGCAGTTTGATTTTTTTTTTATTTCTAAGCAGCATACATTGTAACTTATTGCCAATTCGTTGTCAATTTTTGTCCCGTGATCCATCAGGGCCTTTTAAATATTATTATTTTTTATTAGCAATTTATACTTATTATAAATTATAAAACTATTGTATTGAAACATCAGTCAACTTTGTATTATCTATTTGTGAAATGGCTTCAAGTCCAAGTATTTTATCTCCAGTCATGAGTGTGATAAATTTATTTATTAAAAAAAAAAAAAAATCAATTAATTAATTAACTCAAAAATTCAGTTATCAGGTTCAATCAGTATCGTACATTAACATTTACTTTTTAAATCGATAATTATTTTATTTTATTAATTTAATAATTAACCATACCAACCGGATAATTTATAATGACATTTTATAAACTGTTGAGTAAATAAATGATATCTAAAGTCATTTACTAGAGCTTTGACGTTATAAATAATTTTTTCATGTATACATTCTTTTTCAAGGACAGCTTAATTATAATACAAATAAAATTGACTGTGTTTCTTTTTTAGATAACTATTAATCGATAAAATAATACAAATATTTAATTCCAATAATTAATAATAATAATACCTGAAAAACTTGGAATAATTGAATCCTTTTGTTTCTGACCCTTAGCATCTTTGAAAAGGTATCTAAATTGTTGAACTCGGCTCCAAGTAGACATAATTTATTTTTTTTATACAACTGAAACAACAATTAATTGTGAGTGAGTAATCGCTATCATTAACACTATTATTAAGTATCAACAATAGTAAAATCAATATATTAATTTAAAAATAAATAATGTAAGAAAATAAAACAATAACAAAACAACTACGCTTCTTTATTAATCTAAATAATAAATCTTGACGGGTGAAGAAAAATTCTAAAAATTGTCAGCTGTCTGCTGATTTTACGACATTAAAATTAGCTGCCACTTGACAAATTTTTAATTTTATTTAACAATTAAATTAACTATAAAAAATTATTTTTAAAAAATTGCACTTTTAATTTTTTTTATTCTCTATATATGTCAATTATTTTTCTTACTTTTTTTGCCATGATTTATTTGTTAACAAAAGTTCTGAAATTTATTAAATATCTGCTAATTTTATTTTCATAATTAAAGAAGTAATAATAAGTAATGAGATTCTATTACCTCATAGTAAACGTCGAAGAGAATATTCTCGGGTAAACAAATAAGATATTTTTTCAAGTTTGTAAATCTGTCTGCAACACGACAAACACTCAATTCGTAGAGTGTTTTTGTTGAAGATGAGCCAGTATCTGTAGCATCAGCTTGCGGTTTATGTTCATCAGCCATTTTACTTGTATTGCCTTGTATATGTATTATCGTTGTCAATCACCACCACCAATAATAACAATAATAGTAACGTAATAATAACAATATTAATAATAATGATAATAATGATCAATCACTGATCCTTCAACAATAACAACAACCGCAGCCACCAATACAACCAGTATCAATAATAATAATAATAATAATAATAGAAATAATTTTCAAGTTGATGATGATGATGATGATGATGATGATGATGATGATGATGATGATGAAGATGATGATATAGGACACTAAACTGTTGTAATACCGTGTAACTACATCAGCAGCAACATAACACAACTGCTGTTGCTGCTGTTATGTAGCCGATATGTGCCTTAAATGTCATTTAATCTGTTTGTTGAATTGTAGCTTACGTATATAGGTGATTACTGTTCAGTAACAATAAAAAAAAAGATTTATTTAAATGTGAAAATCCCAGATTAATTAATTGTATTAATGTGCCACCTTTTTTATTATAATATAAACAGTTAACACTTGTAATGACAATTGGCTTTGTATGTATTCTTGTTCAACTCTTTGTGATGTATCTGGTGTATCTATCTGTTGTCGACATTAAGACGACTCCACGACACTCTACACGTAAACTACTACACCACTTTGCTAAATTCCACACTATATATGATCCCAGAATAGCCATATTTTATTGAATCGAGTCATCCGCGTGGTTGTCAACCCAGCCGCTAGACTTCGCTAGACACTTTATCCACCAGCTATCACATATCACAGCTGCCTGCAATATCCAGTTCCTTACTATCGCAGACATTTATTATATTATTGCACTGAAAACTGGAAATTAATTTAATACGTCTTTAGGTTTAGAAACATATGGTCAGATAATTTTTTTTTGATTATTTAAATTACTAAATAAATTTTTTAAAGCAAGTATTTATTCTGTTTAATCTTACCTGCAAATCTAGGAAAAATGGTGAGTACTGCATCCACGTGAGACATAAAATTTTTAGGTTATATTTATATAAAAGATATTTGATAATTTTTTTTAACAAATAAATAATGGCAAAAAAATTGACGTAGAAATTTTTAAAAATGTTATTTTTTTATAATTATTTTTGGAAAAAATTTATTTGAAAAAAATTAAAAAAACATCAAGTGACTACCTATCTATAGTATAATAGTAAAGTTAGCCGACATTGTTAATTTTTGGAGTTATTTTTTAATTATTAAATTGGAACTAAATATTATTTTCAAAAAATTGCACTTATAGTTTTTAAAGTTTTTTAAAATTGAATTTTTTTTTTTTTTAATTTTTTTGTAATAGTTTTGTTAAAAAAAATTCTAAAAAATGTTAGATATCTGCTAACTTAATTTCCATCAAGTATATGCTAATTTTAATGTCATTATTTATAATAATACTAAAGTTAGCTGACGTTTTTAATTTTTTGATTTTTCTTCATTAATTAAATTGGTACAAAAAAATATTTTTTAAAAATTGCACTTAAAGTTTTTCAAGTTTTTTACAAGTGACATTTTTTAAAAATTTTTTTGTACCAATTTTTTTAATAAAAAAAAAATTTTTTAATTTTCAGATATCGGCTAACTTAATTTTCATTTATTTATATTAGTGTCTCTAATTATTGACTTGACTTGAATTTTTCAGCCGAAGGGAAAAGTAAAAAAATTTATTGACAAAGACAACTCAGTGACGTTCCACTTGGTCCACCGATCCCAGCAAGATCCCCTGATAACTGACGAGAATGCTCCGCAGCGTGTTTTGGTTCCAGTTGATAACGAAAAACACGATAAGGATCCGGCGAAAAATAATCTTAAGCAGAAGAAAAAAGAAGAGCAGGAAAAGTACGGGATATTTTTTGATGACGACTATGACTACTTGCAACACTTGAAGGATGGTAACAAGTTGTCAGTCGAGTGGGAACGAGTGGATGAGCCGAGCAATAGCAATAAAAAGAAAGATGATAAAGAACCACCCAAAATAAACTTACCCTCGTCGGTATTCGCTTCTTCTGTGGAGGAGAAAGTTGGGCTTTTGAATAAAGCTGCGCCTGTTTCGGGACCAAGGCTGGACTTTGATCCTGATGTGGTAGCTGCTATGGACGATGACTTTGACTATGATGATCCTGATAATCAGCTGGAGGATGATTTTATGCAGTTTGCTAACGCTGAAGGTGAACTCGATGAGGAAGATGAGGGTGAGTATGATTCGGATGCTTCCTCAGGACTCTTTGATATTTCAGAAGAAGAGAGAGATGAAGTTGGCAGCCTAGATGGTCCTAGATATCAGTTTAAAGAAGAAGAAACTAAATCAAGATTCACCGAGTATTCTATGAGTAGTAGTGTCATCCGAAGAAATGAAAATTTGACGCTTGTTGATGAAAAATTTGAAAGGGTAAAACTAAAAAAAATGTTACACATTTTTTTTTTTTTTTTTTTTTAATACATAAATAAGTACTGAGTAATTAATTAAGTCGTTTTTAATAGGTGTACGAAGCTTATGATGAAGACCAAATAGGAGCTCTGGATGGTGAAGAAATAGAAGGATACGTTGAAGATAATTCAGATTATATATTACAAGTAGCTAAGGACTTTCAAAAAGAACAGGAAGGAGATGTAAGTATTGATAAATTCAATTTTAATAATTTTAAAAAATTGATTAATTAATACAAGTAACCTTGCAGTCACTACGTGACTGCCGTGACTTGTGAACTGTTGATAAATAAAATTTTGCTTTATTAAATAATGATTTTTGATAAATTGCACTGTACTTTCTTAAATATTGACGTTTTTAAAGATATAAGCTCATCTTGGTGTTACACTCATTAAGACCTTTTATTTGAATACCCACACAAATTTTTGATATATTTTTTATATATACATGTATCTAATATAAATAAATATATAAAATATATGAAAAATTGATGTGGGTACTCAAATGAAAGGTTTCGATGAGTGTAACATCCGGATGAGCTTATATCTTTAAAAATGTAAATATTTCACAAGATACAAGGTCATTTTTAATCATGTATCTAGAGATAGAGCATTTTCGAATGCAGCCTAAATACTTATCATAATAAATTGACTATAGGTGAGAATGATATGAAACCTTGAAAAGGCACTAATTTGTCAAGACCTTTGCAATGACACTAAATTTTACTTAAAAACGCATTTTATTATATGACTAATCTGGACACAAATTTTTTTTATTCTCTTAATAATATAGATAATATTTAATTTTTCAGACAGTAAGCATGTCAGAGGTAATGAAAGACCGTGTGAAAACAATTGAAGCATACTCAGACTCTGAAGAAGAACTAGAATACGTCGAAGTAGACGAACGTATAAGAAAAAAATGGGACTGTGAAAGTATCCTGTCTACTCACAGTACCCTTTACAATCATCCTAAATTGCTGGAAGACCCTAAACTTAAGGTATATTCATTTTTTAACCAGAATTTGTATATGATAAATCATCTAAGAAATATATTTATTTAATATTTATCATTACAGAGGGAGAGGAAAATAGAAATAAACAAGCGTACGGGAATACCCAAAGGTATATTGGGTGAGCAGCCTGGAAAACTGACAGCAAAAAATTTAGCTCGATTAAGTCTGGGAAACGAGGACGAGAGAAATCCGTCTGCTGCTGCAAGATCGATCGCCGAGACTCAAAAAAGTTATTACAGTGAGATCAGTACGAGGGTGAAAAATGAAACTTCTGATCAGAGGAAAGAACGTCATAGGGAATTGAAGTTGTATCGAAAGGTATTTTTTTTTCTTTTTTATTCAATAATTAACAAGTTGAGAGCTGGGTCGTTAACTAAATTTATTTTTTTTTGTAGCTACGCAGAGAAGAGCGCAAAGAAAATAAACTGGCATTCAAAGAAGAGAAGAAATGCCAAGAAAAAATATTATTAAATAATAAACGTAATAATTTCACAGCTCCAAACATGATACACGCGTAAAAATAAATAATTTTTTATTTCTTACAATTAATTAGTAATATATACATTATATTAAAAGTAAAATAATAATGATGAAAACTTTTGTACATGAAGAATAAATAAATATTGAGGGAATAAAACTAAATTGTCATTATTTAATAAACGCCATAAAATTGATTGGCTGAATTGTTACATGTCAATTACATTTTACTTGGAAGTACAGTCGTGTATTTGGTACGCACTGTACATACTTGAGCAACGTAATAAATGTAAGTGTGTGTGTGTATGTATGTGAGACCACGTGAGTTAAAATAAGAAACAGCGCCACCACCGTAAGACGAAACTCGCCAGAAGTTGTAGCAGTCATATGATCGATTTGTGATTAGTTTCACGTAAACTGCTTAAAATTTTAGTCAATCATTAATAGTGGTGAAAAATGGCCAGCCAGACGCAAGGTATCCAGCAGCTTTTGGCTGCTGAGAAGAAAGCAGCTGATAAAGTTACCGAGGCCCGAAAACGTAAGTTATTTTAAACATTTTGTCTATTTAAATTGTACAATTAACTCCAATCGTGAATTCAATGATACGTGTGACTTGTGGGAGTGCCTTTTCATCAAAATCATCAACACTGTCTACGAATGCAATTTGGGTGTGGGCATATCTTATTTATTCTCAGCACAAATAATTATTTATTTACAACAACAATTATTTATTGATTTTATCATTCGTGAGCTATTTATTATTATTTTTTTTTCTTTTTTTTTTTTTTTTTATTAATCGGAGCTAATATTTTCAGGTTGGGACTAACCTTGAGTTTTATTTGAATTCAGGAATAAATGTTATAATTATAAACTGAGCTTTCTATTTGTTAATTCAAGTAATATTTGTTTTGTTATTTTAGGTAAAGCACGTAGGTTGAAGCAGGCTAAAGAAGAAGCTCAGGATGAGATTGAAAAGTACAGGCAGGAACGTGAGAAACAGTTTAAAGAATTTGAAGCCAAGGTACTTTTTTTATTACATTTTTTTTTTCTATCAGTACGGCTGCCCAATTTCATTAAAGTTAGCAGTCACTAGAGAATTTTTTAATTTTTTTTAACAAAAAAATTTACTCCAAAAAATTATTTTTAAAAAATTGCATTTTTTATTTTTTAAAATTTCTAAATGTCAATTTTTTTAATATTTTTTTTTTGCCATAATTTATTTGTTAAAAAAAATTATTAAATATCTGCTAAATTTATCATCATCAGTTACTAACATTTAGAAATTTAAAAAAATTTTTCTTATTAAAAAAAAGTTTGCCTGCCTAATTGATGAAAAATTTGATTTATGAATAGAAAATACTTGAATGTAAATATTTTAAAGAAAAAATACTTGAGATTAAGGTCTAAAAAATTCAGCAATATTAAAAAAAAATTTTACAGTTACTGTGTTTTAAAATTGGGCAGCCGAATATCTCTGGTAGATTATGAATTATTAAATTGGTTGGCTTTTTGCAGCACATGGGCTCCAAAGAGGGTGTAGCGGCTCGTATTGACGCAGACACAAAATTAAAAATAGAAGAAATGAACAGTCAATTATTGACTCACAAGGATGCGGTAATCCAGAAAATTCTGGAGTTGGTGTACGACATCAAGCCCGAGTTGCACCGCAACTATCGCATTGAAGCCTAAGCTGCCAAGGAGCAGTCGATATACGAAAATAAAATAAAATCTATAATAACATATTAAAATAGTAGTTATGATTACTATTAAAAAATTATACAAATCTATCAATATTATGTAAGTGTAAATGTCTCAATGTATCTTTCGAAAAAGTATATCGTTTAAATGTATTTGAAGAAACAAATAATATATATATATATATTATGACAACAATTATATACTAACGTAGATGTAGACAGTGATACTCAAACTTTTAGAATATTATCCGAGTCGTTATGACAATAATAAAAAGTATCCAGATATAACCACTGTTGTTTGCACAGCTTATGTATTTAATATTTAAGTAACAGTTTGAGCATTACTGCAGCACTATCAATTAACAATGTATAATAATATTAATATTTATTATTTAAAAAATGTGTCAGTTTGGTACACCAAGGCCTAGGTGTACTTACCTCACACATTTACCAAATAATAATATTATAATAATTAAAACTGTTTTAAAGGTGGTGGCTATTAAAATCATGTGTTAGATTATTGTTGCTAGGCTTCATTCCATTATTTTTTTCTGTAACATCGAGGATTATTACCATAAATATTATTATGTACAATCTCTTGAGAGTCTCTTGTCAGCTCTAAATTATCATGAGACTCTTACGACATTATACTGAGTAATTAATTGTTATTAGTTGTGAAATTATTATGTATCACATTTATTTCCGCTTGTATTTTACTTTTCTTCCAATTATTGAATCTAACTTCAAAACAAGTGACTAAACTTACTATCAGCCTGTACAGTATTAGCGTCGAAAATAAATGTTAAAAAAAAAACAACAAAATTGTTTTATTAATTTTTTAAATTATCAGACACTTGATAAATTTTTTATTTTTCTTTAAAAATAAACTACACCTAGAAAATCATTTTTTAAATAAATTTTTCTTACTACAATTATTTGTTGAAAAAATCATCACGTCTTTCAATTTTAGTGTCATTAAAAAAAGAAAAAAAAAATTGTCATTTGTTAAAAACTTGAAAAACTGTAAGTGCAATTTTTTAAAAATATTTTTTTGTTCTAATTTAATTATTAAAAAAAAAATCAAAAAATTGAAAACGTCGGCTAACTTTAGTGTCATTTAAAAAATGAAAATAAAGTTAGCTGACATTTCAAAATTTTTAGAAATTTTTTATCGAAAAAATTTCAATTAACAATTTAAAAAAAAAAATATCACATGTTAAAAACTTGAAAAACTATAAGTGCAATTTTTTATAAATATCTTTTTAGTTGTAATTTAATTAAAAAAAAGAAAATCAAAAATTTTTAGACGTCCGCTAACTTCAGTGTCATTTTAAAAATTATATATTTCTTCTCTATAATATATTTTGGGAAGAATATACCTATATATTCTTCTTTAGTATTTAAGTAGTCAAGTAATAAATTAGCTTATAAATTACGTAACAAGTTGGTTAATTTTATTGTTTGAAAGTTTCCGCGCTGCGCATGCGCGCGGCAATTTCCAATGATGAAGTAACAATAAAAAGTGTCTGTAATAATAATAATAATAATAATAATACATCTATATATATATTTTTTATTCGTAAAATCGGCAGCTGATTGGTCGGAGCGTGAGAGTGAAGAGTGGGAGCACTGAGAAGTGGGGAAGTGAGGATGAGGACGACGACGACGACGTCGACGTTGCTTCGGTGCACGGGCACGTAGAAACGTACGTAGGAGACATGGAGGAAGAAATAAAGGGGTGAAAATAATAAAATGAAAGAGAAAAAGATGGTGGTGGGAGTTGTGATCAGCTGGTGAGTTCGTGATTCCCCTAATGCTGGCTCTGGTTTAGCTCGGTTGCGCTCTCTTTGTTTTTCTCTCTCGGTCTGCTCTCCACTGGGTCTCCACTACTCGTACATTTATGTCTCCCGTCGTACACAATTCGCGTTGGGTTCACAGACGTCGGCGGTCCGCACTACGGAACCAACCGCACCAGCGCCATTCAATAATACAACACTGAAGTACAACAACAGTACCAGTAACAGTAATCCAGGTTTGTTATATTTATATTTATATACTTATTTACCGATAATTAATTGCTAATCTAATCGGTGCTTTGTTTGCTTGTGAGATAGTAATAATTTTGGGTGTTATTTGTATTGACAGTGCTCGATAAAACGTACCGAGAAATGGAAGAAGCTGAAGAGATCAAAAGGCTGACGGATAATAAATTTAGTACGCGCATCATCACGTTGGTCCTGCACGTAGCAACCGACTACCAGGAAACATCACTGACAGCCATGCTCAACGGGTCTCTTTAACCTGGTGGTACTTCTGCTGGTTGCTGTTATTCCTAACTGTTATGACAAAGAATAATAATTTTTTGAGTAGCTGCAAAAAGCCGCGAATCCGGAGGATTAAAAGCTCCGAGAAAAAGTTATTGTCCGGGTGTGCCGAGTGTGTTTTTATTTTTATTTAATCCGATCTTATCTTATCAACATCGTTCGGTTGTTTTAAAGAAAATTTGTTAGTTTTTTTATTTATGTTCAATTATTTTTTTATATTCAAGCGTTGTTAATAATCGGAGTACGTGACCAGTGACGGAACCGCGAGTGCTGAAGAAATAAAAGTAAAATTATAATACAATTGTTGTCAATTAATAAAAGAAGAAAAAACGATGTGGTGTCTCGTGAGTCAGGCGAACTCGGTGATCCTGGAGGTACAGGTGGATCCTCGGGCTATAGGTCGTGAATGTTTGGAGAAGGTAAATAATACATTTGTAATTAATATATCTATTATATTTATTTATATATAGGTACACATACCTACAAGTATTTTATTCGATAAGGCTTTGTTCCAGTGAGTAAACAATTAAAACAATTAGCTTTGGGGTAAAAAATCTGTTTTTCATTGTTAATCATAGTGGAAACAAAATGAACATCGTGTATCAGGTATATAGGTGTAAATTTTTTTATTTTTAGACATCCAGTAGATTAAATTTGTCGATATCCCTGTGACGATATGGGTCAAGTACGATGTTTGGCAAATGTGTTAAAAAACACTATTGATTCAAGTCAACTGTAAACAAATAACGGAACCGTAAATTCAGCATAAACTAACTATTACTTAACGTCCATTTGTTTATTGAACATTTTAATAACCTTTATGTAATGCTATACTAAACATCACATATTTATAATGCACATTATATACTCTGACAAATATATGTCGTATGTGTACGTTTAAATGTTAAATATGGTAATTAGTTTCTGGAGAGTTTTATCTATCGAAAGATACCTAGTTAATTTACAAATTTATTCATCGAGTTTGTATTCGATAATTTATCTGTATTAAATTTAAGTTAATCTCATTGTAAGCCGTCTGCTGAGATAAGGATACAGCAAAGACCCAAGACACCAAATTTAAACTCTCTTTAACGTCTCATGAATTTTATAATAAAATAATGTTTGGCATTAAATCGAATTTACAAAACTATCTTTTAACTTAGATTCACTCTGTTAATAATTATCGGATTAATTTATTTTACTGTTTCAAGCTTACTTGCTATTTAATTTTTAATTTCAATTTAATTTAATTTTCTATTTTGTATTTAAAATGCGTTTTTTAAATTTAATTATACTATTTAATATAAGATTTTATAGTTCATTTTGCAGACTATTCACTAAATTCAACTAACAGTCCATAATGAATTATAAAATTAAATAGCCAATTTTAATTTGCTTTTCAATTAAATGAAATTTTTATTTTTTATTATTTGCCGTGTCTATATTGATACATTACATTAATAAAAAAAATTCGAAAGAAGAAAACTTTAAATAAGAAAATCATTTCAAAGATTTTAGTCATCTTAAATCAAGCAGACTGATAAAAAATTAAATTCAAGAGCAAAAATCTCGAGAAAATAATTTTGAACTTTATCTTCTTGAATTAAGTAGGAAAATTTATGAACCAATAAAAAATTTTTCTGTTTGATTTAAAACAATAAAATTCTTCAAAATTATTTTCTTGGTTCAAGATATTTTTTTTAAGCTCATCAAATTTTATCAATTTGTTTTTGAAAAAAAAAAATTGACCAAACAGTAATTACAACATATTGCAAAAAATTTAATCCCGTACTCTAAATTAATTTGAATATTTTAAAAATAAAAATCCATTGTATCATCCTGCAAATGAAACTCTCCATGCTGTTTTGCAAATCGGAGTACTTTTTGGCTTAGTCATAACAAAAAGTGATTCACAGTCATAAATAAATGTCCACCTATAATTGTTTAAAATAAACAATTTAACAATAATTATTTAGTAGAGGTTGAACAAAATTCACGAGTGTGTGTAAATAAAATGTCGTGGCGTGGGGCGTTGAAGAAAAGGTCGTATAATAATCAAGGGTCAATCTATTTGCATGGGTCGTCGACGCTTCGTTGCAACGGCACATATGTATATATAATTCATATAATACGCCGGTACTCCCTGGCATTATATATCTATCTGCATTTACACACGTATCCAACTACGGTGCTTCTCTTACTGCTCTCCTTACTTGCATTAAACTTTGCAAGTATTATTCCTATATTGCCATCAGAGTTGAGCCAGCCGGTCGTGCTGCAAGTAAAGCAATCGGTGATGTTACTAGTGCTCAAGTCTGCCCGTGCGTGTAGATCAACACGCCTACCTCGTGTAAAATTTCCTTTTACATATAACATATAACATTATCATCTTCCTTTACTTGTTTTTGTCCCCGTTAAGCAGGAAGCTGCTTAGCTCCCCTTCTATTCCCATAAACTTAATATCCATCCAGCATCCAGCATCCAGCATCCACTTGAAACTCTTCCGAAGTATTATATCGCTATTGCCAACTATTTACTTTATTTTAATCGCTGTCGTTATTATAACTGTTACAGATTGTAGAATCAAATAATTGCTCAGAGTAATAATACTACAAGAGTACAAAGGACACTTTAAGAGTTTGAACTTCTTTGTAAACTAAAACTTCTG